ATTCTTCACGCCATTACGCATGTTCGTCTCCATATCTTATGCCGCCGCTCATTTTTAAGGGAAAACGCTTACCTTCTACGCTTGCATTTTTTTAAGGTAAACTTTTCAAGTTATAAAACCCTTAAAATAAGAATACGAGCTCACCAAACCCATGATAACATGAATTTCAGAAAATGAACCAATGACTGCTGACTAGCTAGTAAATCTCTGAAGGAAGCATAAAAAAATCACACACAGCATCGACTAATTATCGAAGAAGCATTTAACCAAAAGACAAACGAACATTTGGTCGAATTGAATAACTATTGGATCGACTTAAATGGCTCGATTCAAATCAGTAAACACGATCAAAATAAACGCAGACAAATAAAACGAATGTTAATTAATAGAAATGAGAATGAGTATTTGCGAGAAGAGAGGTTCTTTCTTCCACAACCATTGAAGAAACCGTTCAATGAAGATCGTTTGGACGGTGGTTATCATGGCTTTATTAAGGAATGGGAGAAGAAAAAGAAAACATTTTTGTTGTTTTTTAAAGAAGAAAATAAGAACGTTTCTAATAGTGACAAAGTAGAACAAGCAGCAAACGGAATCATCTTCGAAGGAAATCGACTAGGCGAAAACTGTGAATCACAATGGATTGCCAAGCAATTGAGAATGGTGAAAAATGAGACCACAAAAGAAATTCGTAAGTGTTGCATTAATCTATATACTAAAGAATGTTTTCTATATAAATTAGTTAATACAACGTTGAGAGAAAATCATAAGACCAAAGTGGACACGCTTGGCCCATTCTGCTACTTTTTATTTGATTCGTGGTCAAATGATTTGGAGAATCAATATAAACTGGAAGTGTATCGTGGTGCCAGTCTTGATCCAGAAATGATTGAATCTTATAAAGACGCCACTGGTACATACAAGTGTTGGTATGGGTTTTCTTCAACAAGTAAAAATCGTCATAAAGCAGAACAATTTGGAAATGCGTTATTTGTTATTGATCTGACAAAAACTAAGGGAGGGGGCTTTGATATCTCGTCATATTCATGTTACCCAGATGAAGAGGAAGTCCTTCGTCCTGCTGGAGCAGAGTTTAAAATTATCGAAGTTCAAGCCGACATGGAACAAAATAAACACTGTATTTATTTAAGTGTTATAAGTGACCTCGATAATGAATGCTTCTCTGATTTAAGCGATAAAGATTTATCAGCAGAAGGCGCACGCGCAGTAGCTAATGCATTAAAGATCAACAAAACATTGACTGAGCTTTATATTTCGAATAGTAATATATCGAATGAGGGCGTAGCATCCATCGCTGGTGCATTGAAGATCAGCAACACATTGACCAGGCTTAATATTGCGGATAATAATATATTGAATGAAGGCGCAACAGCCATTGCTCACGCATTGACGATCAACAAAACATTGACCAGACTTAGTATTTCGAAAAATAATATATCGAATGAAGGCGCAACATCCATCGCTGATGCATTGAAAATCAATAAAACATGGACCGATCTTTATATTTCGGATAATAATATATCAAATGAAGGCGCAGCATCCATCGTCGACACACTGAAGATCAACAAAACATTGACCGATCTTGATATTTCAAATAATAATATATTGGATGAAGGAAAAAGAGCAATTCAAGATACACAGAAATTTAAGTATCGTGATATCCACCATTAGAATGTAGCATTATAATTGTAGACAAAATTGTTTGACAATAGAACTCGTTAATCCTTGTTGGATGATTTACTAGCTTCCTTTTGCGTAAGCCATCATTTGTCTTGTCTCGAATAATGCGAACGGAAGAAGCAGTGGTTGTTCTCATCAAAAAGTGTTTAACAGTCGTATAATATAGTTTTACTGTTCTTTATGTCGGCTGTTTCCATTTGTTGTTTTTTAGGTTAATGATGCACTTTGTTTGAAATCATAGCATTTCCATATTCTGAAACTCGCGGGTAATTGTCTGTTTTTGGAGTAATTGAACAATAAACAGTGTTCAGACAACAGAGGGATATTGTTTGAAAATACAAAAATATTTTGATTTGAGTGAAAATTGTGATTGTATGAGTCAATTACGGTGAATACAAACTGCGAAAAAAAGCAGGTTTTACTATGAATTGTAGCCAACGTAGAATAAGAAGCGATAAGACGTCAGCGGGTCTTGCTCGATCTCGATTGGGTTTCAGTTGAGTGTGAGTATCATATGTAAAGAGCACACTAGTTCTTCTTTGGAGTCAATTTTACTATTGATCTTTTATTTCGATAAAGCACACCGATTGATTTTCTCAAAGCCGGGCTTTTGAGGGGATATGTGGAAGTTTTCCAGCATTTAAGCATAAGGGGAAAAGTTAAAATACTAAACTATTGGTTGTTTACAGCAGTAGGTAGAAGAAAGTGTCATCTTCAAAATGGGATCTAAGAAATTGCGTGGAAATCTTTGACTCAGTCAGGACGGCGATCTTTTCCTCCAGGCCCCGCATCGTTTGCCTTCTAGTTTTGTAACGTTAAAAGCGCGTCTAACGATAGGTACCGTTCACCCCCGTGTCAATATACTAATGGAAAATTTAATAACTCCTGATCTTTACAGTCGATCGCAACAGTGGGCACGAAATATTTTTTCTGGTTTTTTCTAGTCTCATTGAGACAATTATGTAGCCAAAGAATGGCGCTAAAATCGATTCGACAGTTGGGAACTTTCCCTCGTAAGTTCGGAGGCCTGAGATTATTAGCGGTTTTCTGGGTAGAGTACAATATGGTGACTCAAACAAATAACATCCACGCAAGTGATGAATCTTTACAGATTATATTTCAAAATTTTCGTAGTTTATTAGTAGATACTGTATGTACTGATAACTACTAGTACATTACATATGAGTATATTACTGTGTTCGTTGAAATCCCCTAAGAGAATGATACCTAGATGATTCTTCCAGCTTACCAGTATTTCCTTCAGAACATTGTTCAAATGCTCAAAGAAGTCGGTGATTGTATGGCGATAGCACGAAGCAATCAAATAATTTTGATCTTTTGTAGCGGAATGCTTAGGAAAATAGTTTCAAACTTAAGCTGTTCATATTCACAAGCTGTTTTCACGACTACATCATCATGCGCATACACAGTGCACCTTCCATCTTGCGACGCTCTATTATTTCTGTATGTGGTTGAATATCTGTCTACTTCAAGTGTTTTATCTAAATCAAGTGAATCTAGCTAAGGTCCCTGCCGGATTTGAAAATTACAAGAAACCAACAAACCGAACATATGATTTTGTAGAGAATTTTATGGGGCATCTTTCAGTCTTTTTATTTTTATTCAGTTCTTTATATTTATTGAGAGAAAGTAAAAATATTAAGTTTTAGTCAATTGTGACACCGTCTCAGTATAAACTTTTTTACTTCTTAGCCATTAAGAACTTCATTAGAACAGTCATTGAGCGAGCTTTAAACGCGTATGGCTCTTGTTTTTTTATTGTGCTTTGTCACTGAGATAGTTCATATTTTCTAAATCACGAGCGCAAAAATCGGAATTCTGCCCGTAGACTAAATTTTATTCATCCGAACTCAACTTCTATGCAATGAAAATATCGTATTCGGGATCAGCGTCACAAACTGAATCGAATGATGTGCTGTGTTAATCTATCCGACTATTTTGATACCTTTTGAATTTTCACGTCGAAAAATGACTGAGTTTTTGACCAAAAATGAATATCAGCAAAAAGTTTCGAAATATACACCATTCGATTCAGTTTGCGATATCATATTGTAACGCGAGTATAAGTTTTTTATTGAATAGAAGTTGAGTTCGGATGAATAAAATTTAGTCTACGGGCAGAATTCCGATTTTTGCGCTCCTGATTTAGAAAATACGAACTATCTCAGTGACAAAGCACAATGAAAAAACAAGAGCCATACACGTTTAAATTCTACTTTTGTCTGACGAAGGCGTCTTTGATGTTGAAACGTAATAATAAAATAGAATAAGAAAGAGTATTCAAAAATAACCCAAATTTATACAAGAGGAAATGTATGCAAAGCAATTAATGAATAGAATTTTTTTTGAATGAATGACTCGAGTCAAACAGTCGAATCAACGTCTTCCAATTTTCCAGTCAGAGTCAAGTCAGAGTCATTAAAAAAATGCGACTCGAGTCGACTCAGACTCGTCCAGCACTGTGACAGAGAGAAATTACAAATGTGTGTAAAGCAAGGGGGAAGAAAAAAACACTTCACCACACTACACTTTCTCCACTACGGTAGTGGTGTTGTAGTGACTTTGTAGTGGTGACGTATTGGATGTGTAGTAGATGAGTAGTGAGCTCCAGTGGTTGTGTAGTGGGCTGCAGTGGTTATATAGTGGGCTGTAGCTAGCTGTAGTGGTTGTGTGGTGGGCTGTAGTGGATGTGCGGCGGGCTGCAGTGGATGCGTAGTGCACTGTAGTGGTTAGTAAAAAAAATACGTGTTGCATGTCTTGCAGTAAAAATGAATGATGGTTATAATACTTCACGCTTTTTTAAAAGAAACGATTGAAGATGGAAAGTGATTGAAATAAAAACAAAGTGACAGTGATGAGATTCGAACTAGTGACTCCGGAGAGACCAGTGCCTTAAACTGGCGCCTTAGACCGCTCGGCCACACTACCTGTCATCTTTTAAGACAGAAAAGATTTAAAAATGAGCTGTAACAAAAACTTGAACGTATATATCTAAGAAAATCAAGAGGGAAAAAACAACGCTTTACTACACTACACTACACTTTGCACGCTTTGGTTACATAGTGGGCTGTAGTTAGCTGTAGTGATTGTGTGGTGGGCGGTAGTGGATGTGTAGCGGGCTGTAGTGGACAATTCCTTGTAGTGTAGTGTAGTGTTGTTTTTCCCCCTTGGTGTAAAGTCATTTGCGCTAACTGGACCCGCTTCCGTAATATTCTTGAGGTAATGTCTTCGCTTGTTGCTTTATTTGGATTGACTCTACTTAACCACTGTTTAACTTCACGCATAGATATGGTGAATAAATGTGGAGTAGGCGCGTTTGAGACCAAAGTATTAGGCAGAATTATTCTTTTATAGTCGATGGCAGTCATACTAGAAATGTTTGCAAAATGTTATGTAAGATATTGGCTTTTTGAATGTCGTTAAAGCACTCAATCCTTTTCAAAACTTCAATATGAGCGGAACGTGATCGTTTAAAGAGTGATTTTACGAGTTTTCACCACGATTTACTTGATGCGTTTTTCTAATTCGTTCAAAATATTTTTCTTTCTCATTCATACATACTTTCTCAAAATCGCTACACGCTTTTTTATATCTTTTTTGAAGGGAAAAAGAAGACAAACTTTTCTGACAGACAAACTGTTTTCAATGGAATGCATTTTTCCACTGCTTTCATGATTGATTTTCCAAAATGCTAACTTTTTGATTAATGCATCTAGAGTTATAGAATATAACAGTAACTGTATTAAATAATTGTATTAGAGTGTAGCGGAAAAATCCCAATCCGTAGCCGAATAATGGTAAATCTTTCTAGTAGCTGATTTCTTTTCTCACAGTTATTAAGTTAACTCTCACAATTTTATGATGACAATTCTTGCACAATCTGTCATCTATTTCCACATTTTGTATGAAATTAGCTGAATCTGACTTGAAAAGGATTTTCATATAAGGAAAGTAAATTTTCAATGTTTTTGTTTTTGTTGAGTCCATAGAGTCAATTCGATAAGAAAAGAAACGGATAGCTACATCTCAATAATCCTGAATCTTGCTCAATATGGAATACTGACACTATCTTCAGTTCGATCGCATACACCCAACACCCATGGTTTTTTCTGTCAATTCGAATCTATTCTTAAATATAAAACGATGAAATTTTACTAAATACAGAGGTATCTGTCTCTTTTCAGTATGAATACATAAACTAAACTGAAAATAAATAAAAAATACTTATGACAAAATGAATCTGTATTTATGCCACACGTTTCATCTCATTTTGGAAATGCTCACTCGTTTAATTCATATTCAAATACTCCCATCTTTCTCAACTTGACCTTCTTAAGCACAAATACACATTTCGTATGATATTTACATTGAATCAAAGTTGTAACTCATGTTTCCAACAACCATCACCTGTCATCAATGATATTTGTCTAAATAAAGAACGTACTGCAAATTTTTTTCTTTATTACTACGGCGAACTGCATACACTGTCTTCTCGGTTAAATAGCTTATTTTAACAACAATTATTTTGGGAATAACGACAGTCACTTCATAATTTCTTTTTTCTTATTATTAGTAATAATAATAATACGTCATTGCTGATTTTTGTTCTAGGAGACGATAGATGAGCACAAGGACATTGTTGTAAGAGAGTAAAGATAATTATTAACTTATCTAGCTGCCACTCAATCAAATGTTCTATCTCTTTCTCTTTCTCTCTCTTCCTCCTTTTAATTATGTAGAATCATCACACACCCACTTCTAATACCTAATAGATATAGAAATGTCGGACAGTAACGATATACGCCAACTCTTAACTCTCATTTATTCTACATATAACTGTATAAAAAATATAAGTTTTTCTTAATAAATATATGTTTTACATGATGAGTTCTGTGTATATTTAAAAAAGATAAACATACTGAAAAGATATTCTTTTTTTAGTTTTCAATTGATGTATACAATGTTACATT